AAACCCAGGGGGCTTCCTGGGAGGTGATTCAGCCCAGGACAGACGTCAGCAGTGATTCAGGGCTCAGATCTGATCCCAGTTGGCTTGCCCCAGGGACCTCTGTCTTTCTCAACACCCAATGCATGCAGGAGTCAGCTGGCTGGTCCTCTGAGAGCTCTCGCCCATGGAAAGAGAAATCATGGAAAAGTCCCAGAGAATGAATGTGTTCACTGTACCAAAGCAGGCAAAGGCTGCTTCCTCTCCCTCAACTGGATGTGTTGGCAGGGCTGGGTAACTGAAGCCGGTGTAGACAGGTGGGCCCTGTTCAGTCACACAAAAGAGCCACACCTCCTCTGCTCTCCCGAGTGAGTCTTTGGTCTCCTGCTCCAAAACAAGAGAGCCTTTTCAGAATCCCATGATGTATGTGGCAGCCAGCACCCCAGCTCTGTGTCTCAAGGAAGCTCACAGGAAAGACAGGTGGTGCCTTGGTCAGGGCCCCAAACCCATGCCCAACCTCAGGACTGTGGATGTCTTTGGAAGTAACGCTAGTACTTGGGTCAAACCCCAGAGAACAGGGCAGAGTGGCCCAGAAAGATGGACAGCAGGGCCCTCAAATTCACCTGGACAGCTGGCAGGTAGAATCCAGCAACCCATCCTAGAGATTGCAAGTTGGCAGTGCTGAGTGGGCCCAGGGATCTGCATTTCATACCACTGATGAACTGCACATTTATCTGTTTATGCATCCTATGCATATGCATTTGTTTGGATAGTGTCCCCCCAGCATTAATGTCCATGCAGAACCTTAGAAGGTGACTTTCTTTGACAGTAGTCTTTGCGAGTATAATCAGTTAAGGATCTCAAGGTGAAATCATACTGGATTTAGAGTGAACCCTAAATCCAGTGACTGGTGTCCTTATAAGAAAGGAGACACAGGGAAGAAGCCATGTGAAGACAGAGGCAGGGATGGGAACAATACAGCCACAAGCCATTGGGTTCTGGGAGCCCCCAGAAGCTCAAAGAGACAGGAAGTATTCTCCCTTAGTGTCAGGAGGGAACACCTGTCAACATCTTGATCTCAGACTTCTGGCCTCCAGAGCTGTGAGGGAATTAATTTCTGCTGTTTTAAGCTACCAAGTTTGTGGCAATTTCTTACAGCAGCCTTAGAAAACTACTGTATATCTGTGCTTTATATATAAAAATGTGATATTATGTGTGCACCCTCCCCCACTGCCAAGAACCGACTTGCAACACTTTGAAGGTGATTATCGCCCGTGTTGAAAATGCTTTTGTGTCTTATAAACAACAGCGGAGTAATTCTTGAACAAGCCCAGGGAGACCTCTAGGGTTTCAGGAAGTAGACAACTGAGGTATACCCAAATCTAAAACGTTTAATGCTTTTGGTTAGAGCAAATGATCAGGCGAACAAGGAACATCAGGTTTTACTGACTAAAATAGAGTGTGTAGAACAGAATTAAAAATATTCTCATCAAACAATTCGTTTTACAGGAGAAGCAATTCCAGAGTGCAGGGTAGGGGGGAGAAATGTCTCAGAATCCCCTTCTTTGAGCCTGTAGAGAGAACGTTTCTCCAGCTAGTTGGGGGAAATAGCACTCCAAATGATGCTCTTCCATTTTAGTGGATTTGCCCAGAAAACGCAAGCAGTTTCTAAATGGGAAATGAGGGAAATAATATCCTGACACCCGCTTTCCTCCGGATGCACATGGTGCTGAGCCTTCTGTCCCGTGAAAAACAGTGACAGGCGGGCATCCTCAGGAAGGAGTCTGGAGTGTTTGGACGAGAAGCCTTAAATCATCAGGATAACCTCTGACACTTACCGTGTGCTTTCTGTGTGCTGGGCACTGGGTTGTGGACTCCACAGCTGGTATTTTTTGTTCCACTACAGCCCAGTGAATGAGGTAGGCATGCCCCCATTTTACAGATGAGGAAACTGAGGCACAGGGGAGTTAAGTCACCTGCTGGAGGTTACACAGCTACTGAAAAGAAGGCTGGGGCTTGAACCTCACCATGTCTAAATTTTAAGATCCAGGCTTCTAAACACAGTGCATGGGCAGGGTCCTATTGCTAGTGGGTTGTTTCTGTCCTGCTCACCACAGGTTAATGAACAAGATAAAGAAGCCAAGCCAAGGAGCTTCTAGCCCTGGGGTCTAGGGAAATACAGAAGTCAGGAATTCAGCAGCCCTTCCTTAGACTTTTAATTTCAAGCCTCCCAAAGGTAGGAGAAACCTGTTGGTTAATAATGCTCCAGCATGGACCCCAGAGACCTCCAGCAAGTGAGGGGCACTGCAGAAGATGCCACCATGGCCGTCTGCTGCTTCTTTGGCCCAGCTCCCCTTGTCCTGGGGTGACCTGTATCCCACTGCTGCTTCTGGAGGAAATGTCAATCACAGGACCCCTAGCCCCGTGGCTGGTACATCCGTAGGAGCAAGCACTCGACTGGAACAGGGCCAGCCAGAGCCTTCTGTGGGATGAGATGGAAAGAGAATGTCTCTCTCAGCCTTAGAGATTGTGAGCCCTGTGGTTGTAGGCTCGGGCTTCTGGCAGCCACCTTTCCCACCAGGTGGAAGAGAGGATGAGGCCAGTGTGAGAAGAGATACAGAGCCAGGCGGCCTGGGTGAGGTTGAGAGGATGAACGCGTGGGCCTGGGGACACTGGGCTCCTGGATCCAGCAATACCTTCAGCAAGCACATCCTCAGCCATCCCAGTTACAGGACCCAGGGAAAATTCCCTTTGTTGCTTAAGAAGTTTGAGCTGCAGCTTTCCCAAGGGAGAAAGAAGGAGCTCTCAAGGGGAGAAATGAGAGGGTCTGAGTCCCATCCCTTTTGTCAAGGCTGGACTGCTCACAGCAGATCCAGGTAACAGCTGTCAAGCCACATATAACCCCAAGTCAAGGAAAGTCTTCTCCATCCTCTCTGGTGCCATTCCTAGACAATTCATGTGTGGGGAATGCCAGGGAAGCCTACTCAAAAATGCTTCTAGGGCACACCTGGGTTTTAGAGGCAAGCTAGAAATTCATCTCAAGACAGGTGAAGATATCACAGATGCTCAGTGATAAATGTCTGGTGACATGGGAGCTATGAGAATGTCTCCAATCTCCCCCTACCTCTCTCCCTCATGTGCACACACACCTGGATGCAGGATGCAGTTTTGGGTGTTGTTCCTATACCTGAGGAGCAAACAGAAGTGGATGAGCCTCCCTCCCTGCAGGGAGAAGGATGTCTCTAGAAAGTGACTCCTTCCCTCTGCTCCAGGTTTGGGGTTGAGGTTGGTATGCAAGGAAGTCCTTGCTCTTTGCCCTGTCACGCTGAGACTGCATGGAGGCATGGACCCCATGGTTGTAAACCCACCCCTTAGGCAAGGCCCAGTGACTGCAGGTGTTGGCCAGAGATGACCCCCCCCCCCAGCTATAAGCAAGGCTATGAGAGAAGAGTAACACTGAGTCATTCAGCCCCACATTGGCCCCCCCAGGAGCCCTATCAGTGAGGTCCCTCCTAGGCTGATGTGAGTGAGTGATGTGGACTAGGTTGATAGACAGGTGAGGACTGGGGTGGCCCCCATCCAGGAGACACAGTTGTCTTGCCTTTACATGGCAACAGTGGCCCCATTTTGCCAATAGTCCCAAATGCCTGAGGGAAACTAGACATCCTGATCTCTTTGTGAAATGCTCTAATTTTTCAATCTCTCTATAGGCAAAAACAAAAGCCAGATCAGACTGCAGTCGGCCAGTTGGTAACCTGTGACTTGTTACCTTTTTGGGAGCCCAGGAAAGGAAAGGAGAAGTGTCCTCAAGCCCCAAGCATACCCAAAACTCTCCCATGCAGAACTCAGGGAACGTCTATCAGTAGCAGGTTCCAGGGGTCGGGTTTGCCATAGGGCAGACACAACAAAGTCACAGCCTCCTCCTCCCCGTAAGGGGAGTTCTGATGCCATGTTGAGGTCCTGGATCCAGCCTTAACTGAAGCAAGAGATCCTGGACTGGCCAATTACATGTGCTCATGACTGGTTACCCTTTTGTGTGGGTCTCTGTGACTCACAACCAAAAAACTCATAATTAAACTGCTCTGAAGAAAGAAAAGAACCTCCAGAGGAGTTTAAACACAGCTAGAGCCACTTCATCACTGCCTGGGTGTCTCCACCCTCCTCAAGTCAATGGTGGTCAGGTTTCCTTCCTAGCCAAGCTCTGGGAAAATGGATTTCAGATCCAGGGTGGGCTGCTCCCCACAGACAGTGGAGCCTGTAACTCATATAACTGTTCACCATGCATGTCTGGGACACAGGGCATCACTAGGGAATCAGATGTGAACGCCAATCATTTCTGCCTACCCAGCATTCTTTCCCTCTTCTTCCTGTCGGGTACCCCAGTATTCCTAGAGGCAACCTCCTTATGATTTTCAAACCAGGTGGTTGGCTTCGGGAACAGGCATGTGGTCCAGGTAGGCCAATCACTGAAACCCCATCCCTGTATGCTGATTGGTCCAGATCGTAGACAGAAACCTACTGGCCAGTCTGTGTTCTTTGTTCCCCTGGCAACTGTGATTGGTTCAAGGACTAGTGTGGGACCCAGACGGACTGATTAGACTCAGTTCTGGGAGGTTGGATCGAACTTTGGGGGAGAGAGGTTCTCTTCCACAGCTGAGCTGGGAGGAGACAGGGAGCCTAATGGTGATGGGGCCCTCTGCGTGGGGAAGGCACCTGAGAAGGAGGCTGCCCCAGGGAAAGAGCCAGAGGTGGAGAGGGGGTGCTGAGCCTGATGACATCCCTGAGCTCCCAGACCAGGCAGGCCCAAAGGTGGCCCAACCATTCCTTGGCTTTTCCTCACATGAAGCCCAAAGGAGATGGTTCTGTCTTGCATCCTGAAGAGTGCGTGAGCTGGATCATTGCCATCGGCTCCAGATGCCCCCACTTAGTGTCCAGACCCAGGGCTGAAGCCCACGTGGTCCCAGACCTCACAGACACTTGAAACGTGGGAGGCGAGCAGGCTGCCCCACAGGGCTCAGTCCCAGCTATCTGGAGACCAAGGGGCTGCTGTGGGATTGGCCAGAAGAGGAGGAAGTGGTGGCACTGAGCTGGGAGAAGCCGCTGGTGCAGGATTCCAGGCTGGACATGGAGCCCCTGGGGAGGAAGGGCATTGTGTGCACATTACCTTCGGGGGTGACACGGCCCTGGGGCCCACGCACAGCAGTGGAAAAGCTGGTGATGCTGCAAATGAGGCCCCAGGGTTCTTTCTACCAGGCTGGTAACCACCCCAGGCGCACAGGGCAAGTGTAGAGCAAAACCAAGTGGAGTTATGGTGAGAAACGAGGCTCCACCCGTTTTCCAGCCCCACCCCCAACCAACCCCCACGCACAGAGCCCAGCCTGCTACACACCATTCAGGGGCTTCCCTGACCTGGGGATCTAGCATGGCCTGGGCAGTTTCTGACCCTATCTCTAGCCTCACCTCACCCCGCCCCACCCCTGCAGCCTCCTTTCAGCATCTCTGACACTTGCCTCCCCTGTCTGGGAACCTGTGAAGGTCTCCACCTGCTGCCAGAAGCACTTTCTCTGCCCCCTGCTTCCTCTAGTTAACTTCTACTCCAGACTTCAGAGCAGCGCTCTCCAGGAGAACCTTGTGCGATGACAGTTGTGTCCTACAGCTGTGCTGTCCACTGCAGCAGCCATCAGCCTCATGGGGCTACTGGGCACTCAGAATGTGGCTCGTGCAGCTGAGGAACTGATTTTTTTATTTTTGTTGAACTGTAATAGCTACGTTTAAATTGCTACCTGTGGCTGGTAGTTACCTGGTTGGCCAGTGAAGCCTTAGGATCTGGCTATTCCAAGTGTGGTGTGGGGACCAGCACCACCAGCCCCTCCTGGAGCCTGTTAGAGCTGCAGACTCTCTGCGCCCGAGAGCTGCAGAATCTGCATTGTGACAACCCCCCCCCCCCCCAGAAGATGTATGTGCATGCCACCTAGGTCTCAACTCCAGTGTCTTTTCCCAGGTACCTCCCCCACATCCCATGCCCACCCTGTGCCAGGCCCCTTGTCCAGGCTCTGTGCCAGGCCTGTGCCAGGCTCTGACAACACCCTGTGTTGAGGCTTCTGACACCTCCTAGCTATCTGACCTTGGGCAAGGACCCCAGGCTGGAATGCCTTCATGGCATCCACTGCTGCTCCTGTTATGCACAGGTGTGATCATGTGGTCTCCTGCTCCACAATGGCAGGCCCTATCTGTCTGGTCCCTTGGGGCCCAGCCCAATGCCTGCCTACTGAGGACACCCAGGAAATAGCCCTTGAACTGGTTTTCTTGCGAGGCTGTTGAAGGGCAGGGCAGCAAGGCTACCCCATGCTGACCAGACAGGCTGGCAAGCAGCATCTGCTCTGCCCCCCTCTAGGCCTCTACCTGCCCTCCTGGAGGCCAGCAGCCTCCAATGCTTGTGTCTGCATGTCTCTCCCCTGCACTGGTGCCCAGCAGCCAAAGCAGGCCACTTCCCAAAGAGGAAACCACCAGCCCTCCCAGGCTGTGGGGCTCTCTTGAAGTAAAGACAGAGGCCCAGTATTTCTCACAGGGGGCTGTATGTACCCCTACAATACTTGGAGCTCCACCCAGGATATGGATACAGATGTGACACCCTCCCGGAGCCTCAATTTGACTCCATGGTAAAGAATATAAAGCATTATTTTTAGAAGGACACAAGCATAGATAGGTCATGAAGCAGGATGCAAAATCACATTCGTTTTTAAAAGATAAAATGTAAGGCCTTGAAGAAACTCTCCATGTCCTCACCCTGTTTCATTTTTGCTATCAAGGGCTTACTGTATGCCTCGGTGAAGGGCAGGCTTCCCCCAGCTATTTCATCTTCATGACAACCCCATGACCTAGGATTTCAGTAGTCCCCATGTAACAGATGGGAAGCCTGAGGCTCAGACAGCTTAAGTGAGTTGCCTGAGGTCACAGAGCAATCAGGAAGTGTTGGAGGCCTTAACCACTACACTTCCTGCCTCTCTGAAAGCACCACTTGGAGAGAGGTGTCTGTGCGACACTATTCTAGAATGTTCTAGAACATTCCAAATCCTTTTTTTATGGGTTTCTAGGAATACAGGGAGGTCCAAATAGGAGGGCCTTGGGCTCCCCTTCCCCCACCAATCAATCTGGTATGTTTGGCTTCTGTCCAGGATTTCATTTAAAAGGGAGATCCATGGGGCGCCTGGGTGGCTCAGTCGGTTGAGCATCCGACTTTGGCTCAGGTCATGATCTCATAGTCCATGAGTTCGAGCCCCACGTCGGGCTCTGTGCTGACAGCTCAGAGCCTGGAGCCTGCTTCGGATTCTGTGTCTCCCTTTCTCTGCCCCTCCCCTGCTCGTGCTCGGTCTCTTTCTGTCTCAAAAATAAATAAAAACATTAAAAAAATTTTTTTTAAAGGGAGATCCTGCAGCTGAGGCAGAGTTTGGACACAGTGTTCAATCTGGTTGCTCACACACGTGCTGAACCACTGGAGAATTTTAACAATACCAATGCTGGGGACCTGCCCCTGGATAAGCTCAAAGACAAGTGAGGGAGGTGAATCTAGTGCCCCCAGCCCAGAAGGAAGGGGCCTCAGGAGTGCTGTGGGCCTCGCCTAGAGGGGAGTCAGGACCCTTCCTGCCCAGGCTCTCCCTCCCCAGCCCCTCCTACCTGAAGTCCTCAGACGCCAGCACCTCGTAGTAGTAGAGGAGTTTGCACTTGGGGCCAGGGCTGTGCAGGGCCGTCAGGACATCCTCCACACCCGGGATGCTGCAGGCCACATTGCCAGGGGGGCTGTGCATTTGCCACTGGAGCAAGTAGGTGCCAGGCCACCGGGTCACATGGGAGCCCTGAAACACAGCAGCCGGGCCTGAGGCTCTGGTCCTCCTGGGGACAGGAGCCCCTTACTAAATGGATCCACCAGCCAGTCTTCCTCTCAGAGCCTCCCGAAGTCATCCTTGGCCCCTCTGCTGTTACCCCCATATCCCTGGGGGCTGAGAGCCTCCCTCTAAATCTGGTGGGAGTGGAGGCCTGGAGAGGAGGGCTGTAGTTGCAGGGCAACAGGTGCGGTTTAATTAAATGCCTGGACTTTGTTGGGCTTTTGTTCTGCTGAGCGTGATTTGCAGATGAGGTCCAGGCAGGGATTCAGGCAGGGAGCTGGCAGGTTGGTTAGAGCTAGTTGAGGGCCTGGACGCTGAGAATGAGGGCTAGGGGTGTTGGTGTGTGAGGTGCAAGACAGTGTGCTGCTCAGGGAACCTTCAGAGAGATCTGCAGTGCTCATCAGAGCTTGTGTGTGCGGTACGGGTGAGAGAGCGAGCGAGGCCAGCGATGTGAGACTTACAAGCACTGGAGAGTGGAGAATGGAGGGGGCCTCGTGTTCATGTTCCACAACGCATCTGAGTTCCGTTCCCAGACTTAGTATGTCTCTGCTGCATAGCTTCTGAAGCTCACACGTCAGAAATCACTGGGAGAGGGTGAGGGATGCAGGGTCCAGGCCTCACACCCAGAGGGTCTGAGTTACCCCTCCCTGGCATGGGCCCTGGAAATCTGCATCTCTGACAAGAGTCCCAGGGATTCTGAGGCTGGGGTCCTGGGAGGTCCCCAGAGTCCTGGATCTGTCTGATTCTGTCTTTCTCCCCACCCATCCCACAGGGGCTCCAAGGCCAAAGTCCATATGCAGTTCATCTACTTGGGTGCTCCCAGAACCCTGGCACACAGTGGACACTCAATCCTGAGTGAAGAATGAATGAACAAAGGAATTCGAACCTGGATGCTCTCCCCTTCCCGGCAGACAAGGGGGGCTTCCACACGGCTGTAATCCACACCTAGGACCCAGCCCTTGTCCGTCAGCTGCCCGCCGGCCCTGGCCCCAGGCTCCTGGGGTCCAGGCTTGGGCACCTGCTTGCTGTGGTACAGGCTGAACACCACGTCCCCCCTCAGGATGTCAAAGTCCCAGGTGATGACTGACTCGCCCTCCAGAATCTCCACGGCAACCTGCATGGGGAGGGCACGGTCTGAGGGTCCGACCTGGGATCCCACCAGGAGTGGGGAGCCGGGATGGGGAGGTCAGCTGCAGTAGGTGCTGTGGGTGCCCACCTGGGTCTTCATCTGCCCATCTGCCATGCTCTGCACAGCCCAGTGCTCCCCTGGGGTCAGGGGACTTGGCTGCACCGCCCCTTTGCTTGTATCCTTCCCCGTAGCCACCCTGTCCCACCTCTCCTTACAGGTTTCTCCTCAGAGCTCACCCTCAACAAATCGCTAGCACAAGAACTCTTGTCTCAGGGTCTGCTTCGGGGGACCCTGACCTAAGACCCCACCCCAACCCGGTGGGCCCTCCCGGGCCAGGTCCCAGCACCTCATGGGGGGCCCCTCGGAGAACGCTGGCCGACTGGTAAGTCTCTCTCCACTGCCGCAGCTGGTCTGTGTGCTCTTGCTCCTCTTCTGTCAGATAGAGGGACTTGGGGACCAGCCCTCCTTCGGGGACATTACACTGGGGGATAAAGACAAAAGTAGCAGGTCAGGACCCAGCCGGCCTGGCTGACCCACAGAAGGGTACTTTGTGACCCCTGAAACTGCACTGACAACAGCAACCCCAAAGTGAGAACGGTACAGGGGCTCTCCCATGACCTCATCTCCAAAACCACAATGCAGTAGGAACTCTTACTATTTCCATTTCACAGAGGAGGAAAATGGAAGCCCAGAGAGGTCAAGCCACTTGCCTGAGATCACACAGCAGAAAGTGTCTGAGCCTGGGCACAAACCCATGTTTATCAGGGCCCCCAGGCTCAAGTCTCTTATTACCATGCAGGTTCTTACAGGCCCATTTGTTAAACATAAATCACATGTATGTACCTCAACAAGTGGAGAGATTCAAATTGGCAGAATTCCTAGGAAATGCCTTTTTTTACTCAGAAATCATGTATGCTTGGAGTTTAGTATTCTATTAGACAAGGAAGAGGGGCCTGCCCTCATCCCATGGCCAGAGGAGATAAGACAGTTGTGACCCAGGGTCACCCCTGCCTGTGTCATCTCAGCCCCAAGGGGAGGCAGTAAAAGGGGTCTGTGGCTGCCTCTCCTTGAAGTAGTTGGCCCATCTAACCATTCCGTGAGGATGTGGGTTGGGAATAAATCCCTTTGGATACACAGGCTCCGGGGTTCAGGCCACTGGGATGTTTGAGTCACCTCTCTCAGCAGCAGAGGGCGCAAAGTCAGCAGGTAAACTCTGACTGCTGCCTAGCGACGAAGTGCATAGGGAATACCGGGGTAAACTTTTGACTGGCCTGGTCTCTGGTCTTCTATAAACTTCCATCTGGATCACTATGTTTGAAAAACCAAGCTAAGGCCCCTCCTTTGGACAGGACTCACTTCTCTTTGGGGAAGCGTCTAAAACAAGCCTTGCCCCCCAAAAGAGAAAGCATGGCTTCTCCAGGTACCAGCACCCACACACATGACAGAGTGCCCCACTCCAGCCTTCGTGGCCCTCTGCAGCCCTGCCCCAGCAATCCCTGGCTCCCCCACCCCCACCCCCAGGCCACAGCCCAGGGCCTGCAGCCACATACTCACCACACACTCTCCCCCAAGGAAGTCGGGGATCACTTCTTTATCTAGGTAGTCCACGAGGCCTCCGGGGCCCTGGTAATTGCTGCCACTGTAGATGAGGAACTTCTGCCTGGTGTTTTCATTGATGAAGGGGCTGATCTGAAGTGGGGGAGATGAGACAAGATGGAAAGGTATTTTTGTTTTTTTGTTTGTTATTGAGATGTAATTCACGTGGCAAGGAACTAACCATTTTCTTTTCCTTTCTTTTCTTTTCTTTTCTTTTTTCTTTTCTT